ATTAAAATTCGGACAGCGTTTTTTTAAATTAGATATTTAATTTTTACACATCGTAAGTACTTGTAGCTGAATACGAACGAATAGCTCAGAATTGAATATTCTAGACAAAACTAAATACATTAAGAGGAACATGTTTTTTTAAGAAACTCGGCTTTAACTTAGAAATACTAAAGACTAATTTTCTTCATTAACTCATCATTCAACATGTGAAAGTGATACATCATGGGTTAACTCATCTATCCACAGGTGAAAGTGATTCATCCTGCATGAACTCATCTATCTACAGGTGAAAGTGATTCCTCCTGCATTAACTCATCTATCCACAGATGAAAGTGATAAATCGTGCATTAACTCATCTATCCACAGGTGAAAGTGATTCATCCTGCATCACTGATCTATCCACAGGTGAAAGTGATTCATCCTACATTGATTCATCTATCCACAGCTGAAAGTGATTCACTACATTGATTCATCTATCCACAGCTGAAAGTGATTCATCCTACATTAACCAATATATCCACAGGTGAAAGTGATTCATCCTACATTGATTCATCTACCCACAGCTGAAAGTGATTCATCTTGTTTAAACCCATTTATCCACAGGTGAAATTAATTCATCATTTATTAACCAATCTATCCACAGGTGAAAGTGATTCATCCTATATTAACCCATCTATCCACAGTCGAAAGTTATTCATCCTACATTAACCAATATATCCACAGATGATAGTGATTCATCCTGCATTAACTCATCTATCCACAGGTGAAAGTGATTCCTCCGGCTCTCCTAAGACACATTACAACTGCACATTTTCTACCATGATCAGAGATTGGAGAGCCAATTTCAACAAAGCATCAAATGGACAGACAAGTGCATCTTTTCCGTTTGGCTTTGTCCAGGTAGTTAAACAGTTCATATCCCTAATTTGATCAAATAAACGTTTTTACACTGATTATTAAAAAAAAAAAAAATTCGTCATTTTTATGTTTGTTGTTGAAAATATGAACTGAAATATTGGTGACATTTGACTTTTTATTTTTACACATGTTGCTAAACGTTTGCTACATACTTTTCTCTGTATCTAGTCTTTAAAAATTTTACGAATCATGTGTTTAACAATGTCGCCCGTTTGTACAGCTTGCCCCGTACCACCCTAGCCCAGGACCCGTTGGTGGCTTCACAGACGTCAGGTGGCATCAAACAGCCGACAGGGGCTACGTACCTAATCCTGACCTGCCGAACGTCTTCATGGCTGTAGCCATTGACTTGCCAGACTTTAGCTCCACGTCTGGACCGTAAGTTCGAATATACAACCAACTACAGAAACGATTGTTGAAGCAGTGAATAAATGGACAGTGACGGGAATTAAAGCAAAATTTAAAAGTCCACGCTTCCCCCAGATGAATAGCCCTCAGTGCTACTTCTAAATTTCGTTTAAAGATTGCGGTGCTAGAATATTTCGTCATGAAAAGGCGATTTCTAAAAAGCAAAATTAATCTTTTGCTTTTCATCCATTTATCTGATCTCGTTTTATTAATTTGTTTTTTTTTTTTTTAAATTAAAAATTCTTGACCTTGAAATCCATCAGCAATTCTAAACATCAAGGGGTGGGGGTGAAATGGAGACTTAAGTCAACATATTAGTGTAATTGTGTGATTATTGCAGCTTTGTGCTCCTGATCCCTTTATTATAGGCGAAGATGAAGAGGTGTACGTATTTTTACTTTTCTCTCTGATGATAAGTTAATTTTTATTAAGCTGGGTTATTTCTAAGAATAGTGAAAACATAAAATATTTCATGCAATACTTCCAATTTTAAATTGCCCAAATTGATATTTCATTTCCATAAATCCTTTGAGAAAGATCAGCTTTTTGTGTCAATATCGTTGTGGCACATGACTGATTCTCTTGCTCTGAAATTCGTACCCAGCTGTCACAGATTTTTTTTTTGGATTTTTTTCCATTCACCAGAATCCACCCACGTTACAAGAAGGATATAGGATCAAGGCTGGCACTCAGTGGGCTGGCTGTAGCCTATCACCAAAGTGGGATATTTCAAGGGCCACTGCCCACAGGCTCACATAAAACTACAGCTGGACTGGTCGTGGACTATGGGAACACGTGGCACTTGGATGTGCGTGTGTCAGATGGCTTTGAGGTAATAACACACATCCTGTACTCTGCTTCGTAAACAGTATACACATTTTTTTTTATTTATATATTCAATTTTAGATTTTATTTAAATCATTTTAGAAACTAGATATTCCATCCCCACGCCCTTTTTATTTTTTTTTTTACAAATTCAGTTACTTTTAAACGAATAGAGAGAATATGAAAGTTATGATTTAAAAATAATCTTATTTAAATTTATTTTCAAATGTAATAATCTTAAAGAACAATAAATTAAAACATTATCAATCTTGTGACTCGCTTCAGAAGTTTTTAATTTTCATGTCAGAAAATCTGTCATTGTAAAAACGTAGTCTAATAAGGTTCGATGTGTTTGTCTAATATCGTTGTTCTTGTATTGTTGTGGATATCTGTTACAGCTGGAATGTGCCTCACCATCCCGATGGGTCCATACACCGATAATCGCCCACACTACAACAACCGTGACGCTGAAATATGACGTATGTCACACAGGTGAAAAGGTCATAGGACTCCGCTATGCCTGGAGTGAGTCACCGTGCGCCCTACACAAGTGCGCCATCTATGAAACCTCCAAAGGACTACCCGGCCCTCCCTTCGTCTCTTATGCAAATTATGACGCATTTGGAAACATGCATTTTGCATTTGATCAGCCTCAGCAAATTTAGCAAGGCAGATGTTCTAAATTTAACATTATTTAGCAAGGCAAATGTTATAAAATTAGCACATTCAGCCAGGCAAATGTTTTAAAATTAGCATGTTTAGCAAGGCAGATGTTCTAAAATTACGTATAATTTAAATAAAACATGTTTTAAAAAAGATAAATTGACACATTTAAATCCCCAAAACAGCACACACAAATATTTAATAACATGACCGAATTTGATCACTATGTCCATCGATCTTTGGCATAATTCTTTGTTTAAGTTCTGATTTTAACTGTGATAAGCACAATCATATATAATTTAAAACATATCTCCCCAATCTTTATCCTTTACACCAGTTTGTTGACAACACAGCCGACAAGCCATACTCGTATCTGATATAACAAGTTCCTTGGTAGCAGAATGTAGATGATAACTGTACGCAAATGTCAAATGGATTTGAAATAATTGACCGGACGTTAAACATAGTTAGAACTCAAATAAAATAGTTATAGTTATTTTGCCCAATTGCATTTTCTCAGATAATTTCATTAGTTTTGTTAATGAAGCAATTTAAATGTTATTTTTTACGGTTTACAGCCATTTGATTAATATTTAAATACATATTATTTAACATTACATACGTTTTAGTAACGTTACCATTTGTATAAGAGTCTACATTTTACAATGGAATATAAACTTGAAAAGTAACGATGTTTCAGTGATCAAGAATTCGTGACACACATTTATCAATTTAATTTGATCTTTCTTATAAGTTCAATTAAATGAAATGCTATTGCAATGTGTTTTTCTTTGTTTCTCTGTTTCACTGTGTTCTTGCTACTATTGCAATTAATTATATATACATCAACTAATAAATATAGCTACATCGATGCTCCAGTGAAAATTTTCTAGGTTCCAGCCCCTACCGTAATGGTGTAGAGTCACAGTCGTCAGCATACATCGTTGTAAGTTGAAATAAATTTTGGACATACGAAATCTTTTTGTTTGTGTGTGTTTGTTTGTTTGTTGTTGTTTTGTTTTTTGATTGAGAATTTAGCTTCTTTATAACGGTCGATTCCAACGTTATGTATGAGATGTTCAAGCCGCGGACCTAGTTGGAACAGTTTCTCATTTCAAAGCCTGAGAGGGTCTAGCCTGGTCAGACTAATGTCTCATTTCAAGGCGTGAGAAAGTCTAATCTGGTCAGACCTGGTCAGACCAATGTTTGTCATTTCAAGGCCTGAGAAGGTCTAACCTGGTCAGAACAATGTCTCTCATTTCAGGCCATGAGACTGTCTAATCTGGTCTGACCTCGTCAGACCAATGTCTCTCATTGCAATGCCTGTGAAGGTCTAATCTGGTCGGACCAATATCTCTCGTTTTAAGGCATGAGAAAGTCTAATCTGGTCAGACTTAGTCAGACAAATGTCTCTCATTCCAAGGCCTGGAAAAGTCTAATCTGGTCAGACTTAGTCAGACAAATGTCTCTCATTCCAAGGCCTGGGAAAGTCTAATCGAAGCTTTATTTATCGTCATAAAAAACGGCATAGATTAAAAAGATCAGAATCAGATCCATTTATCACGACCGATGACATAACCACACGAATGATAACATAATCGAAATCTATCAGATGATGGTAGCGTTATTTGTACAATTCGTATTATTTCGTTTTTTATTGCAGACGTATTCAAAAGTAGAACATAAACAAATTATAAGAGTGTTGAAATGCGATAAAGCTTTAAACTATGTAAATAAGACACAAACATTTTGTGTAAATAAAACAATAAATGATGTTCAGCTTTAATTACGATGCTAGAAAATACAAATGTAAATGTTTCGGCCATTGCCTTCGTCAGTGCAGGAAGCAAAACATTTAAATACGTATAAATTAAGCTCAGTTTTACATAGCTGCCATGCCTTTTTCCTGTTTAGTTTTTAAATCTTACGTCCACTCACTTTCTATCCGTTCTTTTTAACTTTGTTTTGTACCTGGTTCTTGCGCCCACCCTTAGTTCTTCTCTATTTCATCAGATAGGATGCATGTAAGTCAATGGTATGTAAATTAATTCATACTTACTTAAAGTATACATTGGGAGAACCGGTGTTTTAAAAAGTTTGAGGAATTTTTAAATTTAAGTCCATTAATCCTTAATAAAGAGAAATTTGGACAAAAGTTATTTTAATCGAATTGAACTAAAAGAGAGAGCGTGTGGACCGGAAAGCTGTGGGAACCATAAGGTGGGAATGTTTTTGTCAAGAACAAACATTCGCTGAAAAGTAGTCACTAGTTCGGTCATCCATCAGAGTTCAACCACTCGTAACTAGTCTGACACGTCTGTTTAGGGTTTAGATCTAGATGATAGTGGAACTGATAAATCAATGGAGTGAACTCTGTGTACAGAGATTGTAACCAAAGTATAAGACATAGGACTGGGGGCAGATCGTGTGGTCAGTCTCGGATTTACTCCAGGCGACGATTTCAACTGGACACTACCCGAAAATGAAGCTTCACGTAGCTCTGGTTACTTTGTTGTTTATTCTGACCGTTGGTCACTCCAAGGCCAAGGGTATTCATAAGATGAAAGTAGAAGATGAGAGTAAGTTTTAATATTTTCTATTTTAGTCAATGGGTATAAACCACATCGTGAAAAATATTTATATACAGCGACAAACGTCTATTTTATTGCATCTTCGTACCATACAAAATTTTTACATGCAAAGTTTTCGAAAATCTTCAGCTTATTTCTAATCTACTAAAGTTACTGAGCAAAACATGCATTCAATTAAGACACTTTATAAGAATCCCAATAGGTGCCAACTTTTGGGAATTTTATTTTGCGCACCTACTGAAAATAGAATTAAAGGGATTCATACATTCAAATAAAAAGCATTATTATTTGTGATTATATGTTAACAGGAATTATTTATGAGAGACGAATGGAAGAGAGCCGGTCAAAAGTTGGCGCCGTGACGTTTGCATTCGCCAAACATTTCCAAACCCACATGGTGTTACAGAAAGCCCCGCAGAGAGCAAATATCTACGGATTCTCTCCAACCATTGGACAGAAAGTCACACTACAGGTACGTGAAGCCTTTACAGATGTATCTTACTTTTATTTAATATAATATAAACGACAAAATGATATCAGAGAATTGGACTGCAGGGAAAATATCCCAAGGATTTAGATCGATCACGATTAAAAGAAAAAATAAGCAAGCCTGTCCCTGAAGGTTTCTGACTGTTAGTGAGGATAATGATTGACTACTTCTAGAGCGCTTGTGTCCAGGCTATTTTAGCCTACCCAAAGTGCTCCGATGTCTTAAAATCTATTGAAGAAAAAATGTCCCTAAGTGTCTCTTAAATGTTTTTTTTTTTTTACCATCATTAATTTACTTTAAATACTGAGGCAAACTTTTCCATGATTTAGGCGCTATATCTTCAAAAAGAGCGCAATCCGAATGACTTCTTTTTGTGTCCATCCACACTGGGAACTCTCAGTAGGGACTGTGATGAAGAGCGCAGGCGTTTTTAATGATACGCGTTTGGAAATAAGTTCTTTGAGATATTCAGGTGCAGAAACTTCCACACAGTTGTACGGCAGGGACAGAATGTTGCGGTGTATGCTCTCACTTATAGAAAGCCAGTGGAGATGTGAGATGTGGATGGGAGCCTATAAACGCTTAACACCCACTGGCCTTTCGTGTTTGTGACAGAGTCCTAGAACCACATTTCCTTTTAGTTTTGTTTTTGTATAGTTGTTTTTTCAAGTTATTCAGCTTCCATTTCCTCCATATTTGTAATGATATCATTGACATCAAATATGTAAAGAACGATTGAGTCTATTTTTCCTATCGGGACTTGTGTTGGAATCATGAGATAAGAAGCATGCCAAGTGCTGTCGTGTTAATGGTATTGATCAGAGGCGTAGCAAGGGGGTGCAGGGGGGGACAGATGTCCCCGGGCGCCAGGTAGTTAGGGGCTCCAAAATGTGCTTTGATATTATTTTATTGATGAAAATAATGGGTTTGAGAGTTGAAAAAAGAAAAAGGGGGCGCTTTAAAATGGATCTTGTCCCCGAGCGCGAATCTTGTCCCCGGGCGCCAAACACCCTCGCTACGCCGCTGGTATTGATTAGTAACTAATAAGAGTAAATAAAAAAGAACAGGTAAAAACCGGTATGAAGTGTGCAGAAACGCAATCTCCAGGTTTACTTTCCGTGTCATGAAGACACCATCTAGTTATTTATTTGAAACAACCATAGCTCAATAGTGGTGTTATGTTTTCATGTTTTTTTTAATTATTATTTTTTTTTAAAAATTCATCAATTAAATAATGGTAGTGTTTTTAATGCAGCTAAACACAGTACCAGCTACTCACAGCTACAACTACGAGACAACAGTTCACCAAGGTCCAGCTGCTGGTGTTGGGGTATGGAATTTTGTCCTTGACCCCTTTGCCCCAAGCACAGTGGTCACCATCAAGGTCACGGCTGGAGCGGCCTCTCACACAATATCTGACGTCATTTTTGGAGACGTCTGGATTTGTTCTGGACAATCAAATATGGAGATGACCGTTATTCAGGTAATGTCAACGCTTCTTTTGTTCTAGATAATTATGTCAGTGTTTGGATCCAAGTCGCTTATCTGGATTCTTTAGATCAGGAAGTCTGAAGTCTTTGATAGGAGCTGTCAAACTTTCACGTCTGGATCAATTGGAAATCTCTTAAATGATGAAGATCCTTGTTTAACTTAAATGCGGATAATAAATTTTGAGAGTGGTCAAAACAGAAATGACGTTAAAAAGACTGATCTCATTGCCTAATAATTGAAAATAAATGGGTCGTCAAACTACTCCACTACAGTGTCAAAGAACATCAAAGCAACCTAGTTATAGTTTATCAGAAAGCGAACTACGCTGTGATGTGCAGACCGTTTGGAGTCATTTTATTCTCAACACAGAGAAATAATATTATTTTATAAGTATACTGGAGTTAAAGGGCCTTCTTTAATTACTTATTAATAAGGATTAATAAGTGGTTTTTAAATCTAATTTTAGCGATTACGATTTTCATCTTAAATTTCAAAGGCAATAGCAGCTAAGCTTAAAAGATACGTTCATTCTTATAGTTCATAGTAGTTACTATGTATGAACGGTTCAAGTGGAAAGCAGGGATCTGGTATGACAATTAAAATGAGAACCGATTTTGCTAGGGATTATTTTTTGTTTCGTTTTCTAAAAACATTTTAAAGTTAATACACTCAATTGGATTTTTAAATATATAATTGTTTTGGCGTGGGAGGGAGTGTGTTTCTGTATTAATTTCACTCTAATCTATACTCTAACATTTCACTCTAATCTATACTCTAACATTTCACTCTAATCTATACTCTAACATTTCACTCTAATCTATACTCTAACATTTCACTCTAATCTATACTCTAACATTTCACTCTAATCTATACTCTAACATTTCACTCTAATCTATACTCTAACATTTCACTCTAATCTATACTCTAACATTTCACTCTAATCTATACTCTAACATTTCACTCTAATCTATACTCTAACATTTCACTCTAATCTATACTCTAACATTGTTTATCGTAATACAATCTTCAGATAGATGGCGGAGCTCAAGAAATAGCAAATGCTCACAACTACCCCAACATCCGTCTGTTCACCGTCAACAGAGCTGAGTCCACTGCCCCCCAATATGACCTGATTAGAGTTGCAGAAGCTTGGAGTAAAGCTGATAACAGTAAGTCTAAATGTTAAGCAAAATATTTTTTTTGAAGATGTATCGTCTATGATATTAATTATTACGTGAGAATTCTTAATTAATATTTATATCTCTATATATTTTTCAGTACATTTAATTCATTTCAAACATATGTCTTTATCTCTTTTTTTTCTTCAAGTTTTCTATTATTTTTTCTTTCTTGTTATCTTTAAATCTTTTATTTCTTTTAGTCTCACTCTTTCTCATTCTTTCTCTCTCTTTCTCTCTCCTTTTCTCTCCCTCTCTTTCTCGGGCTCTCTCTCCCCACTCTCTCTTTCTCTCTCTTTCTCTCTCTCTCTCTCTTTCCGTTCTCTTATTTGTTAAATTTCCTTCCATTTAAAAAAATTGAATACAAACGTTTAATTTTATCATGGCTATTTGTTATATAAACAAAAAAAAAATGGGTTACAAGAAATGTTCATGGTGCTCTTAAAAAAATCTAATTTGTAAGATTCTGTGGGACACGGTGCCTGGAGCTACTTCTCTGCCGTCTGCTGGCTGTTTGGTAAGGACATTCACATTGCCAGGAAATATCCCATCGGGCTGGTAGCCACCGATTGGGGAGGCACCCCGGTCAGGGCCTGGTCATCACCTCAAGCCCTTGCCAAGTGTGGGGTGCACGATGAGCACGCGTTAATTCAACCTTATTCATTCGACAAGTGAGTTGGCTCAACCATATTCATAAGACAACTGAGTTGGTTCAATCATATCCATACGACAACTGAGTTGGTTCAATCATTTTCATACGACAAGTGAGCTGGTTCAATCTTATTCATGCGACAATTAAATTGATAAAACCAATGGTATACAAAACATAAGTTAATCCCGCCATAATAATATTCATATGAAAGGTAAATTAATCAAACCAAATTCTAATGACAAGTGAGTAATTCAACCATAGCCATGACACTTAAGTCTAAAACTTAATTTTGTTCATTGAAAGCATTACGCTTCCTTCCCCATAAATGTCTATTAAACAGTAATGTGCAAAATTTATTTAAGGTATACTTTTTGTGAAAAGATTACCCAAGTTCCGGGTTTTAACTTGCCATTGAAATGTCTTTTAAACTGTAATGTGCAAAAGTTTATTAATAAATACTTTTTGTGAAAAGATTACCCAAGTTCCGGGTTTCATCTTGCCATTGCCATGGTTCTCAAATGTATTTTGATTCGTATCGTTCAGACATGAATGTGTTAAAATTTGGTGCCAGGTTTTTCAAACAGTCATTGGATTCTTCTACGGAAATCATTTTTTTTATACGTGTTAAGTTTGAGGACCTTTCAAATGATCTAAGATTTCTAGTTTTGTGTCTTAGTACATGACTGGCCAAATGCTTTTCGTTGAACAGTTATGTCGACCAACTTCCCGAAAAAGAAAAACACAGACTTCAGGGTCCAGGGAACAGCTCTGTTTTATGGAATGCTATGATTCATCCATTACTGGGCATGACTATATATGGGGCCATATGGTACCAAGGTAGGTCAAACGTTTTTTGAAAATGGCTTTCAGGGTAGGCTTGGGGAATTTTATAAAATTCGAATTTTTTTAAAAGGTTGTGATTTTTTAAAGAAAATATATAACTGGACAAGCTAAGATGTTATGAATTATTGTTTCTCCTAAAGGCGAAAGTGATTCGGGCGTAACCACGAGAGTAAAATACAACTGCACATTCCCAGCCATGATTCAGGACTGGAGGGCTAACTTCAACAAAGCTTCCAATGGACAGACCAGTGCTTCATTCCCATTCGGCTTTGTTCAGGTTGGTCCTTTATCTACCAAATGGTGACATGACATTATCATTTTAACAATGTACTTTTTTTTAAAAACACAACCATTAATCGATCTTAATCGATCTTGCATTCTCAAGAAAAAACCCCACTAAAACATTGGATCATTCAATGTGATCAAAGATGAATAGAATTGATCTTTTTTTAAATTTGTATACAGTTGGCACCCAACTCTCCAAGTCCAGGTTCTACATCTGGGTTCACAGACATCAGGTGGCACCAAACAGCTGACAGGGGTTATGTCCCCAACCCTGACTTGCAAAACGTCTTTATGGCTGTGGCCATCGACTTGCCAGATTTCAACTCAACATATGGAACGTAAGTTGGGAAGAGATTATAAACTCAACGACATAAAAAAAGCTAACATTTTTTTTAAAAAGATTACTTGCTAAATAGAATTTAAATAGATTACAGCATATCTATAGATCCCGTTCGTTGAACAAAGTTATTGATTTTAAAAAACACGCTAATGTTATCATTAGATTTATGATGGTAACAAATGTGTGAAATTTGTTGTCAATGGACTTAATATATGTGTGCAGAGTTCATCCCCGATATAAGAAGGACATTGGGACAAGGCTAAGCATCAGTGCCTTGGCTGTAGCCTATCATCAAAGTGGAATATTCCAAGGACCCCTACCGACCGGCTCTCATAAAACTGCAGCAGGATTGGTGGTAGATTACGGCAACACCTGGAGGTTGGATGTTCGCATACCAGATGGATTTGAGGTAACCTAAAGTTATTTGTGGGTTTAAATTCAAATGAATCTTTTTCTGTTCAACGTTTGTAAGCGACCTATTTAAATGTAGTCATCTTGGGACTGTATTGTTATTATTTGAAAGATAACCAGATGGTGTTTGAGGACATATTTATTTAACATTTTTTAATACTTAGGGCTACTTTTATAACAATTATTAATATCGAGACCTAAATTCCTTTAAAGTCTAATATTGAAATCTTTTGTTGATCATTTTTTTTTTAAAATCTGATTAATCCATTCTTTTTACATTCTACACACCAGCTTCAGTGTGCCTCACCATCCCGATGGGTTCATACACCGATAATCGCACACACCACAACAACCGTGACGCTGAAATATGACGTATGTCACACAGGTGAAAAAGTGACCGGACTTCGCTATGCCTGGAGCGAGTCGCCGTGCGCCCTACACAAATGTGCCATTTACGAAACGTCCAAAAGTCTGCCCGGTCCACCGTTTGTGTCTTATGCAGATTTTGATGCATTCGGAAATCCTTATTTTACATTTGATCGACCCCAATATGTGTAATAGAAGATACCACTTAGGCCTTAAAATTACTTATTTGTTTTTGAGATAACAATTTGCTTTTTAAAATATATTTTTTTTTTGCGTACTTAACTACGTCTCGTTTTTATTTTAAATAACGAAACATAAAACCTCATTTGAATGGTCATATTTTATAGCCAGTTTCGAACAAATGTTAAATAAAAAATTTAATGAAAATGTAAAAGTTTTTTTTATTTCTTTTAAAACGACCGATACTGAATTTCAAAAAAATGTAAATACTATTACAAATTATTTTTTTTAAAAAATTAATTAACTTTACCTTTCTTTCATTTATATCTTTCAAAAAAGTGACATAATATTTTGGTTAAGTTGGTAGATCTGTTTTAATAAGATAAATTATTAACCAACCCTGATGCTGCTTTTATTGCAAATGCTGCAATTAAAGTAATGTTAATAAAAATAACTTGCACAGATATTTTAACAAATTGCCGCAAAAACTGCATTTGAGACAATGGGTAGTGTGCCAACTGAATTACTGTAACAGTGGTCTGTGGGGTTTACCTTCAAAACCAAATTCAGAGACCCCAGAAGGTTCAAAATACTTAAGCACGCATTGCATCGCGGATGAAGAAATCTGTCCACATCAACCCAGTTCTTAAAGATCTCCAAAGGCTTCCTGTGAGTGAGCGCAATGACCACGAAATTGTGTCCCTGACGTACAGCTGTATGGAAGGCTCTGCACCCAGCTTTCTAAAAGATATGATTTCCAAATGTGCTTTACTAACATTCAAAAACATTTACTGATAATTATCGAACATTGCACAGGTGATGAAAACACTATTTCAGTTATCTGAAGGTCAGGGAGGGCACATTAAGCGTTTCAGAGGAGTGCAAGTTGTCTACCCCTGACTTATAACTCACTACACTTAAGCTAAACAGCAAAGTATGAAACTTTGTGTAAACCCCCAACCCTGAATGAAAGACTCAAGCTTACACATGCAAGTAGCTATAAGTTGACAATTTTCACAAATGAATTCAGGTTTTTCTAATGCAGAATACAAGGTCCCTGTGACAAATGAATCCAAATAATATATTTTAGGCTACATGTCCGACCTGGTCAGATCAATCTCTCCCATTTCAAAGGCTTAGATAAGAAATATAAAATACTAGATGGAGCCCGCCAAAAATTGGTGACAGCAATACGTGAACTTCCATCTACTAAAGTTACTTGAAAAAAACGTGAACTTAAGTTATGCAAATTTAAGAATGCCAATTTTGCTACAACCTCCCCCCCCCCTTTTTTTTTATGCGTCACTGCAAACTTTTTACTACAGTACTGCAATTGGAAGCCTGCTTAATTTCAGTATTACCTGCTCGTGTGGGAATTCAACGTCTGATATTAAACACCGCATAAACCGACTAATCAAGAAAGCTAGAAACATAACACAAACTAAACATCCTTCACTTGAAGAACTATTTGAAGAAAGATGTTTTTGTAAAACTAAACACAATTTGGATGAGATACATCCCACCCTCTTCATCACAAATACTTAGGATCAGGCCGTTCGGGACGAATTCTTTCCATTAGGGCGAGGACTGACCGATATAAAAATTCTTTTGTTCCCAAATCTGTACGAATTTACCGCCGTGCTTCCTCTCAAGTCACATGTCTTAATGAGAACTAATAAGTTGATAAGAGAACTCACTGAATGGCTGTTTGAAATAATTTATTATAAATGTCTTGTCTTCAAATTATTTTATTTATGTGCTGCAAATGTATAATGCAATCAAAAAACATTTCCATTTATTTGGATCAAAAAATGAATCTTATCTTATCTTATGAACTATATTAATATTCTCATGTCCCAACCACTTTTAAACCATATATATTTTTTTTACATAATACTTAAATTAAGACGATTTCATTTGCGAAAAGAAAATATTACGCACCAAACGCAATTGCGTTAAAAAAAATATATATATATATATCATAAATAGCGTAGTTATCGGGAATTATATTTTGTGCGCTATTGAACTCATTATTGAACCACACTCTGGTGTATCTATTAATAGCCTGCTTGGTGTCTGAACCATGTTGAGGTTTGACCTTTGCTGGCCAATTATATCTATAGATACATTTTAAACGATTGATAGAAGGCTGATACTTTTCAGCAGATTACATAACCACATGAATGATAACACATTCAAAATCTAAAGAAGGTGATAGCACCGTATGCACTTAAGTCATTTTTAAAAAAATACCACTTCGTATTTTTTGCATTCAGGGTTTTTTTTCAGCCATCTCTGCGGGGGGTGGGGGACACTGCCCCCTCGGGGAAAGTCAAGTGTCCTCCGGAGCGAAATGTGAACGATTACTCTCTATATAACGATTTTATTATTTTTTTTATATTAAAAAACGTCAAAATTTTTATTTTTAAACAATTGTGAAGACAATAATATCTAGTACAAATATTTCCCACTTGTATATTTCTTCATTGACAACTTTTCTTAACATTTCCACTAGTGTAGAACTCAATCTTTCCACCGTTCCATTAGATTGTGTGATATGTTGAGCAATGATTAATTCTTATACTAAAAAGTTCATACAATAGCTCGTACACATGAGATAAAAATTGTAAACCATTATCCCTAAGTATAATTTTTGAGATAATTACATGTCTAAAAAATATAAAATTCATGGTTGAGGTATTAGCTATCGTGCAATTATATATATATATATAGTAAATATATATGTAAATATATATATATGTAAATTCACAAAATAGATAGCAACCACGCTTGCCATAGGCAGACCTCCTTACCAAAATTGATATTATACACTTACATTGTTGTTGTTGTTCGTCCTTCGCAGGTGAGATGACCAAGGCAATATTAGACTAGGGTAGTGGCTTTGATTTGAGCCGTGTTTGCCGGAAATTTCATTGTGCTATGTTATCCGCCTAGTGGACTCCATGTCCAGCACCAATAGACTTAAATGAATGGTAAAGATTTGTTTTTTTGTTTTTTTGAGTAATAAAAATGGTGAGTGAGTATGACAGTTATTACATTTGAAAAAGTTGAAAGTTTGTGTGTGTGTGTTTGTGTGTTTTTAATGCTCTTAGGCTACCAGGGAAAAACATGGCGCGTCCGAGTTTAGGCTCCTCGTAGATCTCCTGCGACAGTGGTCATGCATTGGTTGAATAGAGGATGGCGGTTCTCAGAGCCTTGCCTGTAGAATCTTAGGGACATTATTAAGTAGCCTTGCATGAAATTAAGGAAATAGCTGACTGTTTAGGGGGGGGGGGTCATTCATATCTATTTCGATGTAGGTATGGCTATATGGCCCCTGTCCCATATGGCTATGTGGCCCCTGTCTCATATGGCTATATGGCCCCTGTCTCATATGGCTATATGGCCCCTGTCGCATATGGCTATATGGCCCCTGTCTCATATTGCTTTATGGCCCCGGTCTCATATGGCTATTTATTTATTTATTTATTTAGGCATTTTTTATATAGCGCTTACCTTAAAGCTCTAAGCGCTTTACAATTATTAAAAACATGTAAACTAAGTAAAATAAAAAATGAGACACTAGGATAATAACTACTATACTATAGAAACAATTAAAATGGCTATAAAACGAGGACACTTTGGCACGTATGGGCCTATACTACAGGATCAACCCGAGACAGAAAATGAGGCAGGGCAAGGAGGGTGCATCACAGGTCATAGGCGGACCTAAACAGATGGGTTTTAAGGGACTTTTTGAAAGTGGACGAGGTTTCACAATAACGGATATGGAAGGGGAGCTGGTTCCAGAACGAGGGCCCATGGAAGTAGAAGGAGCGTTCACCGATGGTCTTAGTTTTGGTTCTTGGGATTGAGAGTGTTCTATTGTCAATGGAAGAGCGTAGTTGTCTTGTGGGGATGTAAGGCTATATGTCCCCTGTCTCATATTGCTATGTGGCCCCTTTCTCATATGGCAATATGGCCCCTGTCTCATATGCCATATGGCCCCTGTCTCATATGGCTATATGGCCCCTGTCTCATATGGCTATATTTATTTATTTATTTATTTATTTAGGCATTTTTATATAGCGCTTATCATAAAGCTCTAAGCGCTTTACAATTATTAAAACATGTAAACTAAGTAAATACAAATGAGACACTAGGATAGTAACTACTATTCTATAGAAACAATGAAAATGGCTATAAAAAGAAAACACTTTGACACTTCAGGATTAAACCGAAACAGAAAATTAGGTAGGGCAAGGAGGGTGCATCACAGGTCATAGGCGGGCCTAAACAGATGAGTTTTAAGGGACTTTTTGAAAATGGACGAGGTTTCACTATGACGTATATGGAAGGGGAGCTGGTTCCAGAACGTGGAATATAAAATTAAAACATTTTAAATTGTATTTTCAGTACATCTCATAATTCCGCTAAATAATTTGTTCCTTTAAAATCAAATTAATTAATATTTATTGCTATCTTTAATAAACAATTTATTGGGTGGAAATAGCAATCAGTGATTTACACGGACGAGACAGCTGAACTCAAATTAAATTTTAAAAGAGAATGAAATTCAATTTATAGAAAATAGGCGCATGTGCTAATATGTTAAAGTTATTTACATTATGAATTTATTTATGCAAGGAAATTACATTTTTACAAACTTATAAGTTTTCTTTCTTATTCATACATTTTTCTTTTTAATTCGTTCAAGTCTTAAAAATACTATAAACATGGTGAGACTTAGTGAATTCCAAATATTACATTTCTGCTGTCCATAGTAACTAACTAGTAATTTCAGAATAAATTATAAAGAATTTATTATTTAATACATAATTCAAATAGCTCATATAACAAATAAAATTTTTAAAAATATGATAACATTGTTTATAGTAAAATAATTTCAATAAAATATCAATTAAAATCTTAAATTGAAATTAATGCATGGCATTGTTTATTATTTGTTTTTTTAATGGTGTTTTAATAATGGATTTTTATAAGCTGCTGGTCCATTCGATTAATTAAATTTACGATTACTAAATCAGTTTATCTATTTATTTTTTTTATTTTTATTTCTATAATGTATGTTAAAACAGTTTTTTTATCAAAGGTCATGCAAAACAGTTTGCAAGTTTTTTTTTTTAATAACTACTATAAACATGATTTTATTGATATTTAAAATGTATATTGGAAATGAAAAAAAAGTAATCATTCTTAATTTTGAAATGATTGACACGGCCCATTAAACTTACAAGATATGATTTGCAGACGACTAGCAATTTCAAAGTCCATTCCAGCGTTCCGAGAGATATTCGCATGC